AGCCTCGCCCCGTCGCGGTGCTGTTTGCCTGCCTGGACCCAGATGGCAGTGGGGATCGCGGCCTGAGGGAGTCGCTCAGGTCCGCGCTTGGAGCGCTCAAACTTGGTGTCGCCGTCCTGTGGGTGGTCCCCACCCTTGCCCACAGTTGCGGCGTCTAGGGAGCTAGTAATGCAGGTGGTTCGTCTGCTGCGTCTTTTGAGTCGGGGCTCCCTAGTAGAGCGTTGGTGGTTTGAAGCGGATGCGGCATCCCCCAGGCTCGCATCGGCTTGGACGTAACTATGTAGTGTGATGGAAGCTAGGTGCGATCGTGTGCGTGCGGCCAGGGGCCGTGGGTGGGGGTCGTTGGGCGTAGGCTCGTCACCGCACGGGTCTCTGAGTCTGGGCCCAATATCCCCGATGTCTTCTGGTGTGGCTGTCTGGGCGCAGGTCTGGGCCAGTTGCCCCCCAGCCTGCGTGCTCCAACTCAGTTTTTTGACAGTCGACCCCCGTCGAGGTCGCTCTCGCCGCTCTCGATGAAGGATGCCACCCTGTCGCCTGGGTCCGCGAAGCCATCGTCCGCGTCGCAGATCCTGACCTTTTTCGGCTGGCTCCTCGCCCTCCTGGTTTCCCTTGGCTGCTTCAGGTTACCTCTGCATGGAGGTGCCGAGCTCGTCCTCTCTGGCGTGCCCAAGTGGAATCGCGGTGGTGGCAGACGTGGCTCGTGTGGCACGGTGGGCGTGATGTCCTCAATCGGCATCCGTGGAGGTGTGCTGGGGCAAGCCTCCTCGTCGCGGCTGAGGTCGATGAACAGCGTCGTCATGGGGGTTTCGGCTGGCTGTGATCGCTGTTGTGGGGTCTTGTTTGGCGTGAGAGGCGTGACGGGCGGAAAAAGTATGTGTCTTGGCGTGGGCTGCTCTGTCGGGATGGGTGAGTCGGCTGGTAACGTTGGTGAGAGTGAGGCGAGGTCTGTCGGGGCTTCGTCCTCCTTCTCCTTGCGCAGGCCTTGGCGGATCTTCGTCTCTTCGTCCTGCAGGTCGGCGTCGTCGGATTCGCCAATTGGGATGCAGTCGCTGCTCGCCCGTACGTCGAGCAGCCCCGAGTGCGAGAATGAGCCGACGCTGTTGTGCTCCTCGATGTGCGGGCGCTGCTGAGGTGGTGGTGGAGGTAGCGGACACTCTTCGGCGGATGTCTTCGGCACGAAGCTTTGGTCCTGGAAAATGAGGTCGTCGCACGACGAGAGGGTAGGCTCCTCTGGCGTTGGCATCGACGATGTATGAGACCTCTCTCCAAATCCCACCTCGGCCAGCTCCTCGAGGTACGGCGGTAGTTCTGGATGTGGAAGTTCGTACTGGCTAGGTAGTAGCCGAAGTAAGTCTGCCTCCAGTTGTTCCCTCTGGTACGCGCCCTCCTGCTCCGCCATGCCTTGGTCGCGCTCACTCGTGACTGGGTCTTCCATGAGGTCGTCCGTCATGTCGAGTAGCAGTTCCTCGTCCACTTGTCCTCCTGCTCCCCAGGCGTCCCGTAGTGCGTTCTGGAGTCCTGCCGTTTGCAAATCATGTGCGCGTTGGAGGTCTTGTAGTTGCTGCTGCCTCTGTGCGTCGCCCATGTACTGGTTGTGGGCGTAATGCTGCGCCGCGGCCTGCATCTCCTGCTGGTGCTGGCGCTGCAGAGTGCTGTGGTACTGCTGCGCCACTTGGTTCTCAATCTCCTGCTGATGCTGTAGTGCCTGGAGCTCGCTTGTGGCCGCTGCTTGTCGCTGCAGTGCCACCTCCTCCATCCTTTGGGCTTTGTCCACCGCCTCCTGGTGCTCCCCGACGCGCTCCAGGTACTTTTCCTGCTCGTGTTGCATCTCGTATGCCTTCGCCTGGATGGCTGCGTGCTCCAGGTTCAGGACGACCCGCATCGCTTCGCGCCTGTTGGCTTCTTCCTGGTGCTCGTAGGCCATCTGCTGGTAGTTCACTGCGATACGCAGCTCCTCATCCTTGTAAGCGCTGCGACGGGCGCATCGCTCCTGGTACTCCGCCTCCGCCATCTCCTGCGTCGCCTTTTCATTGTGCTCCTGCGCCATCTTGCACCACTGGGCCTCCTGAGCCGCCATCTGTCTCACAGCTTGCTCTTCCTGCCTGGCCTTCTGGACCTGCTGCGTGTAGATGGCTGCTGTTCTCTGGTCTTCCTTGTGCATCTCCTCGCGTAGTGTCTTCTTTTCCAACTCAAGATGCATTTGCAAGTCCACGAGCATCCCTTTGGCCCTTTTCTCCTGTGTCCTCTGGGTGCCTCTTTGTGCCTCGTATGCTTTCGCTTCCTCCTCCTCCAGCTTGGCGTTGTGGTGCCGCTTGAGCGCGTTAACCTCCCATGTGTGCCACTCCTCCTGCTTGGCCAGCTGCACTTCGGTCGTGTGGTACATCTTTTGCGCCATGGTCTGCTCGTAGGCCTTCAGCTCGCTTTTGTGCTTGAGCTCTGCTTGTGCCAGCAGGTCGCTTTGCTGCTGTTCCTTTTTCTGCTGCGAGTCTAGCCTCTCGGTCAGTCTCCTGATGGCGTCTTTGATCTCGTCTGGTGCTGCTGGGGCTGGTCGTGGCTGCTGAGCTGCTGTGGCTGGCTGAGCTGTGGCTGGCTGAGCTGTGGCTGGTGCCGCTAGAGCTGCAGTTGGATCGCGCCTCCTCCTCGCGGCCGGGTGTGGCGTGCGTCCTCTGGTGGGATCATGGCTCCCCTCTTCTTCTGACGATTCCTCCTTTACGCCCGCCGACTTTGCCATTTGATCTCTGGTTTCCCTCATCAGGGTCTTGTAGACCCTGATGGTTCTGGCGGCCGCCGCCTCCTGGTCGAGCATCTTGCTGAGCCGCTTCTCCATCTCGGCATGCTCCTCCTCCAGCTTTTCCAGCGTAGCCCTGAGCTGCTTCATGCGCTCTTTGTGGGGCAGGACGAAGGAGATGTTCGTGGCGGTGATCGCCGCTTCCTGCTCGAGGCTGGATGTGCACAAACCCGCCAGCCTAGCGCCAGCGATGTTCTCGGAGAGGCGACCCAGCCTGTGGCACTTCGTCTTGTACCACACGAACCTCATCTCCTCGTCGTCTGGTGGTGCGGACCAGCTCTCGTGCTCCATCGCGACGGCGAAGGAGACTGGCGTGATGCTGTCCAGGACTGCCTTTTGCTGAGGGCTGTACTGGAAGCTGCCGGTGTAGGCTGAGGCTGGAGTGTCGAGCTGGTCCCTTCTTTTGCGCCTGCTGCTTCTCCTTCTGGCTGAGGCGCTCCTCCATGGTGCACTGTGCTTCCAGTGCTGGTCGCTGTCGCTTCGCTGCTGGTGCTGTGGGTGCTTTTGCTGGTGCTGGTGTTGGGCTGGCTGGTGGTGGTGCTTGTGGGTCTGAGGCTGCTGCTGCTGCTGCTGGCTGTGCTGCCGCCTCTGTGCGTTGTGCTGCTGGTATCCGTTGCGCTGGCGCTGGTGGTGCTGGCTGTCATCGCGGGCCCACTCCCAGGGTCGCCCTCCGATGGCTCCGATGTCTCCTGACCAGTCTCTGGCGCTGCTGCTGCGCCTGCGCTGGTGCTGCTGCTGCTGCGCCTTCGTCGTCATCTCGCTGCTGCTGCGGCTGCGCTGGTGCTGCTGCTGGCGCTGGGGCTGCTGCGCTGAGTGGTGGCTGTTGAGGACGTTGGCCGCCTCCACCACGCGCAGCAGGGCCCTCGCCGAGGAGCGGCGTGCCCTCTCCCGCCTGTGCCAGGGGGGCTCCCGAGGCGTCTGGCCCCACGTGGCGCGCCAGCAGGCGCGCAGCCAGGCGCAGGGTCGCGGCTGCGGCGTCGGCTATCGCCGACCCGCCGCGGCGCGCGAGCCCGGCCCCGCGGGCGGCCGATCACGATTGGCGTGAGTCGATCGGCGCGATCGAACGATCAGGCCGAACGGATGATCGTTCACGGCCCCGGCCCGCCAGAGGCCAGATGGGCTTCTCCCCCTCCCTCCTCCTCCTCCTCCTCCTTCTCCTCCTCTTCCTCCTCTTCCTCCTCCTCCTCCTCCTCCTCCTCCTCTCCTTCTCCTCCTCCTGATCCTCCTCCTGATCTTCCTCCTCCTCCTCCTCCTGCTCCTGATCCCTCTCCTTGACTCCCCTTCCTCCAAGCTCCAGCCACTCTGGGGTCCCCACAGCCGATTCGGGGTGGCAAATGGGGACATGTAGACACCTCGGAGCCCCTGCAGCCGAACCCGCACCCTCTGCTGTCTCCCCGAGGCCCAATCCGAAGACCGCCCTCGCTCCAGAGCTGCTCTCGTCCTCCTCGGCCTCCTGCTCGCTCTCATGCGCCTCACTCCCTCCTTCCCCGCCCCCCGCACGCCCCAGCACGCCTCGACCCCCACCCCCCAGCGACGAGGGGTGACAAGGGGGACCTTCTCTTGACTTTCTCTACCCTGGCTTCCTCGTCTGCGAGCTCGCACCTCCCTCCTTCTGGACTGCTCTCTTCCTCCGACGCCCCCCTTCCGATCACGGGTGATCAGGGGGGCCTTCTCTCACCTTCCCTGCCTCGGCTCCCTCCTCTGGGAGCCGGAGCCTGCACTCCCCCCTATCTCCAGTGCCGCTCTCCTCCTCCTCCTCCTCCTCCTCCTCCTCCTCCTCCCCCTCCTCCTCCTCCTCCTCCTCCTCCTCCTCCTCCTCCTCCTTTTCCTCCTCCGCCTCCGCCTTCGCCTCCTCCTGCAAGATGCCGCAGCGAGACCGAACTGCGGGAAACCTTCGATGCCACAGGAACCCTCGAAGACAGCCACCAGCCCCGAAGCCCCGGGGCCTGGAGCCCGCAGCGGACCCTGGAGCGAACGCGCAGGCGTCGGCGACGCATGCTCGTTCGGGACCGAGACCCTGACCTGCCAGCCAGGGCTGGACCTAAACGGTGTTCTGGCGATTTCGTGGGCCGTTTTCGTTTCGACTTCGTTTTGCGGTAAGGCGGATTGAAGACCAAACGAGGGACAACGAAAACAACACGAAAATGAAGAACACCGTTTAGATTCAGCCCTGCTGCCAGCCGTGGATTTCCCGCGGGTTCCTTCTGGTCAGCTGCAACGCCGGCATCAGCGCGTGCGAGAAGGGCGCGCAGTGGCAGCGGGCGCTGGCGGTGCTCCGCGAGATGCGGGGGGCGAGGCTGGAGCCGAACGTCATCTCTGCTGCAGCGCAGGAGCCCGCGCGCGACAGCATGTGCTGTGCGTCAGCTCCCAACCATCCTCTGGTGGTGGGCCCTCGCTTTTGAGAGGCAGTCCCCGCGCCTCCCCCTTCTCCTGTCGTCCTCCTCCTGTCGTCCTCCTCCTCCTCCTCCTCCTCCTCCTCCTCCTCCTCCTCCCCCTCCTCCTCCCCCTCCTCCATCCCCCCGTCGCCCCCGTTAGCACAGTGCAGGAACCCGCGCGCGACATCATGTCGCGTCAGTTGTTCTTGTGCCTCCGAGTGGCCCCAGGAGGTCGAAAAGCGCCCCCGGGGCAGCCTGGACAGCCTTGCGGGTCTGGGGCAGACGGCCGCAGTGGCGCCAAAGACGTGCCGCAAGACGGCCTCCAGTAGATTGGCGACGGCACACGAGGCCCCCAAGACGCCCCAAGAGAGGCCCCAAAGGGCCCCGAAGGCAGCTCTGAAAGGTCCAAATCGTGCCAATCCTCGTGGGAAAACGTGTTTTTTCCCCCAACTGTCCTGTGGTGTTGGCTCATTCGTTTTGAAGAGACGGTGCCCTGCGTCCTCCTCTCCTCTCCTCTCCCCTCCCCTCCCCTCCCCTCCCCTCCTCCTCTCTCCTCTCTCCTTTCTCCTCTCTCCTCTCTCCTCTCTCTTCTCTCCTCTATCCTCCTCTCCTCTCCTTTCTCCTCTCTCCCCTCTCCTCTCCTCTCCTCTCCTCTCCTCTCCCTCTCTTCTCTCCTCCCTCTCCTCTCCTCTCCTCTCCTCTCCTCTCCTCTCCTCTCCTCTCCTCTCCAATCCTCCTCCTCGCGCTTCTCCCTCCTCCCAACCTTGCCTCTGTCCTCCGCATGTCAAGCAGTTCGGCGCTAACCTCACACGTTTCGTGGCCCCATAGTGAGCTCCACCGAAGGCCCCAGTGGCATGGTTCGCATGCCGCCCCCCGTCAACTTTCACACGTTTCGGGGCCCCACGGGGTGCTCCACCGAAGGCCCCAGTGGTATGGTTCAGATGCCCCCCCTCCCACATTGGCACACCCCTCACACGTTTCGTGGCCCCATGGAGAGCTTCGACGAAGGCCCTAGCGGCATGGCTCGCATGCCGCCTCCGGTCCACTTTGGCAAACCCCTCACACGTTTCGTGCCCCATGGGGAGCTCCACCGAAGGCCCCAGTGGCATGGTTCGCATGCCGCCCCCCGTCCACTTTGGCACACCCCTCACACGTTTCGTGGCCCCATGGAGAGCTCCACCGAAGGCCCCAGTGGCATGGTTCGCATGCCGCCCCCCGTCCACTTTGGCACACCTCTCACACGTTTCGGGGCCCCACGGGGTGCTCCACCGAAGGCCCCAGTGGCATGGTTCGCATGCCGCCCCCCGTCCACTGGCACACCCACTACAAGATTCGTGGCCCCAGAGGGAGCTCCACCGAAGGCCCCAGTGGCATGGTTCGCATGCCGCCCCCCCTCCACTTTGGCACACCCCTCACACGTTTCGTGGCCCCATGGGGAGCTCCACCGAAGACCCCAGTGGCATGGTTCGCGTGCCGCCCTCCCGTCCACTTTGGCACATGATCCTCGCTGATCGCTCCTCGCTCCCCCCCCCCCCCTCGACCCTGACTCCTCGCTCCTTGCTTCTCGCTCCTCGCTCCCCTCACGAGCTTCAGGTTGCGTCAGTCTAGCAAGAGTGACATGAAGCCGTACTCTGCAGCCTCAAGCAGCAACAGCGAACAGCCACAGTCCGCGGCAGGCAACGGCAGTACAGCAAACGTAAGCAGCAGCAACAACATGCCGCAGGCAGCAGCACCCTGTAGCTGCAGGCAGCAACAGCAGAGGCGAAGTTCGGGCCCAGCGTCATCACGAAAGCCTTTCGGCAACATCTCTGCCCTGGTCCAACGTACCATCTCGTGCAGAATTCGTTTCCTATAGGCCACGGGTCAGACCCTGTTAGCTACAACGCTGGAATCAGCGTGTGCGAGAAGGGCGAGCAGTGGCGGCGGGCTCTGGCGGTGCTCAGCGAGATGCGGACGGCGAAGCTGCAGCCCAACGCCACCTCTTCTACGATGCAGCGACCTCGGCGTGCGAGAAGAGGTCCTCTGTCCCGGAAACAAAAGGTCCCCCAGGCCCTCCGGGGCGCCCTGCAAGCTCCCTGGGGCGCTCCGAGACGGCTCCGGGGGGCCCCAAGATGTCCCGCGACGGCCGTTAAGACGGGGGTCAGAGACGCTCAGGAGGGCGAGGACCCCAAGCGAGCCCCAGGATGGCGAGGGAAGCCTCCAGGGCTGGCCAGGAGGCTCCCGAGACGCCCAGGAGGACCCTCCAGAGAGCTCCAATAGGTACACATCGCCCAATTCCCATTCGGAAAATGTTTATTTTGGATATGCATGTTCTTTCCGTTTGCGCAGTCTCCAGGACGGCTGTGCAGTCCCCCAAGATCGCCCCCAGACGCCGGTCCCAGAACGGCCCGAGGTGGCCACGGGACGGCTCCAGAAGCGCCCGAGACGGCCCAATAGGCACCCATCACAGCCCCAAGAGCGCCCAGTAACAGCCCCAAGACGGCTTAGAAACACTCAAGAGGGCGCCCGGACGCCCCAAGAGGAACCCAAGCGAGTCCAAGAATGGCCTTAGACGTTTCCAAGGCAGGCCAGGAGGCTCTCGAGACGGGCCAGGAGGATCCCCAGGAGAGCTCCAATGGGTAAAAATCGTCCCATCTCCTTCGGAAAATATCTAGTTTGAATATGTTCGTTCTTTCCGTTTTCACAGTCTCCAAGTTGGTTGCACAGGCCCTCCAAGTCGCTCCAAGACGCCTCATGAGGGCTCTCGGCCCGAGACGGCCCCCGACGTCTCCAGAGGCGCCCCGAGACGGCCCAAGAGGCACCCAAGACAGTCCCAAGCGCGCCGAATAATGGCCCCAAGACGGCCCCAAGATGGCCCGAGAGGCGCCCCAGACGGCTCCACATCGCCCCAAGACAGCCCAAGACGGCCGAAGGATGGCCCAAGACGCACCCAAGACGGCCCAAAGAGGGCCCTGAGGGACCCCCATGAGGACGAAGAGAGACAATGCATGTCTCTTGGGGGGCATCGGCGACTGACGATCGAAGACTGACGGGATGAAGGATCGACGGGAGGATGAGGAGGAGGAGGAGGAGGAGGAAGAGGAGGAGGAGGAGGAGGAGGAGGAGGAGGAGGAGGAGGAGGACGCCCACAATTGCCCCACAAGCCGACAAGATCCACCGAGATGTCCCGAGCATGACCCGAAGGAGGCCCCTAGAGGGTCCAGACACACCGAGGCGGCTCCTAACGAAGATGGACGGGATGAAGGATCCAGGGGAGGACAAGGAGGGCGCCCAAAATGGTTCCAAAACAGAGATGTCCCGAGCATGCCCCGAAGAAGGGCCCAAGAGTGTCCAGACACCCCGAGCAGGCTCCTAACGCGCAGCCCAAGTAAACCCTATGGACAGTTACTCCAGCGTCCTATCAGTGATCCTGCCCGTGCACTGGACGCCTGAGCGGCCCCAGTGCGGAGTCCACAACATGGCGGGCAGATTCCGCAGCCGGAAGGCCGCGGGTCAGCCCTAGTCAGCTACACCGCTGGGATCAGCGCGTGCGCGAAGGGCGTGCAGTGGCAGCGGGCCCTGGCGCTGCTCAGCGAGATGTGGGAGGCGAAGCTGGAGCGCAACGTCATCTCTCCTATACGGTCAGTGTCGGTGCGTGCCAGAAGAGTAGGTACCAGGACGCGGCTCGAGTCTCTAAAATCGCCCCTGGCGAGCCCAGGCGGGCCACGGCGGGTTCCGAGACGCTCCAAGATGACGCGAGACGCTTCCAGACGGGCCAAGGGGTCACCCAGATGGGTTTCAGACAACCCAGCACGGATTCAATACGGCCCAAGAGAGCTCCAAGAGGCCCCCCAACAGGGCCCTAGGAGGCCCAAATCATCCCCAAAAAGCTTACCGCTTTTTGAACTTCTCGCCTTCTCGGGCTTCCTGACGCGCAAAGGCGGCCCACGAGGCCCCCAAGATCGCCCCGACACGGCCCAACAGGCCCCCAAGAGGGCCCCCAGACGGCCCAAGAAGAGAGCCCGAAGAGACAGCCCAAGAGGGCCCAAGAGGGCCTTCAGAAGGGGAATTCGACCTTGCATTCCGCGCCCCCCGCCCCAAGATGACCAGAGGGGCACCCAAGTACATGCGTCATGGGGCCTTGTCGAGGCCCTTTTGGGGCCCTGCTGGCCCCATCTTGGGGCCCTTTGGGAGCGCTCCCAGCCTGTCCTGGCCCCCTCTTGGGACCGCCATGGGCGCCTGAGGAGCCGCCCCGGCGCAGTCTTGAGCCGTCTTGGGGCCCTCCTGGCAGCCTCCTGAGGCGTCTTGGGTCGATCTCGAGGGCCTGGGGCCTGGGTGGCCGTCTTGGACGCTTCGAATTCGAAAAGCACGGGAACTCCCGAAACGTACGTTTTCACTGGTGATGGGGACGATGTGTCCTTGTTCGGGCTCTCCTGGGGCTCTCTCTGGAGCCCACTTGAAGCATTATGGGGGTCTGCGGGGCACGTCCCCAGTGGCTGGCGGTTCTGGAGCACTCTCAAGGATAACTCCCCGACGGGTCGCCCCATCAGACCGGAGCCGCCCCAACGAAGGGAGAGAAAGAAAAGCGGCTGGGTGCCACTTGTTTGGGTGGCTGGCGCGACCCAGAGCTATCCAAAGGATCTTCTATCGGAAGCCTCTTGGAGGCGGTGTTGGGGGTGTTTTGGGGGTTCTCGGGGGCCTCTTGGGGCCTCGGTCGGGTCTCCTGTGGGCCTCCTGGGGGTTCTGGGGGGCCTCTGGAGGGCCTGCTGAAGCATGTCAAGTACATGCGGTTTGGGGCCCTCCTGGGGTCCCCTTGGGGCGCTCTTGCGGCCCTTTTGAAGCCTTCGGGCCTCCAAGACAGGGCCGGGTGCATTCTGCCACAGAAAGGCCTCTCGTGGCAAAATGGTGGGCCCGCGACCAGCGGCGTCCTGGGGCCCTCTTGGAGCCCTCTTGGAGCCCTCTTGGAGCCCTCTGGGGCCTCGGGCACGACCCACCCATGGTTCGGCAACCCCCGCCGCCAGTGGCAGCAAGCACGGGTGCACGCACACACTAGTCTCTACGACAACGCAGCGTCAGCTACAGCGCTGGGATCAGCGCGTGCGAGAAGGGCGAGCAGTGGCAGCGGGCGCTGGCCTTGCTCTGCGAGATGTTGGGGGCGAAGCTGCAGCCCAACGTGGTCTCCGCTGCAGAGCTGGGGCCCGCGCGTGCCGAAGCAGTCTCTGCAGGCGACCGTGCGGCGGGCCCCCCCCCGCCCTGACCTTCCAGGAGGGCTTCAAAAAAGCACCAGGACATCGATCGACGTCCCAATTCCTGTCGAGGCTTGAGGCAGTCCAGGGCGGTCAGGAGGAGGAGGAGGAGGAGGAGGAGGAGGAGGAGGAGGAGGAGGAGGAGGAGGAGGAGGAGGAGGAGGAGGAGGAGGAGCAGGATGGCATCCGCACGGCCCAGCAGGGCCCCGAGGTGGCCCAGCACGGCCTCGAGACGACTCCCGAGGCCCCGCAAGTCGGCGCAGGAGGGCTCCAGGAGGCCCTCCAGGAAGGCCCGAGGCGTGCGGCACCATTGGTTTCCGAAGGGTTTTTCAAGGTTGTTAGCTTTCGCCTTTTCGGGCCTCCGACGGCCCAAGACGGCCCCTGAGGGTTCCCAGACGATTTCCCAGGACGGCCCAGGAGGGCCCAGGACGGCCCGAGAGAGCTCCACGCCGGGGCCCCGAGGCCTCCAAAGAGGGTGCCAAGACGGCCCTGGAGGCGCCCAAGGCTACCCACGATGGCCCCGAGGACGGCCCCGGGAGGGCCTTCTCGGGGTGCTCCCGCGGGAGCCAGCCCCCTGCTGTCCAGGTCGGGGGCCGCCGTCTTGCCGGCAGAAGGGGCGCTTCCGGGGCCCGGGAGGAGGGCCCCTGGAGCTCTCTCGGGGCTCTCCTCGGGCCATCTCGCCGGGCTGCTCTCGGCGTTCCCTCAGGGGTCTCGAGGCCGTCTGGTGCAACAACTGTGGTGTTTTCTGCAGGCGAGAGAACTTTTCGAACATACCTTATGATGCTCCGACCTACTCTAGCCTTGATCACCAGGAAGAAGTTCGAGCACCAAGAAAGTACCGAAACTTGAAGGTTTTCAAGTGTCGGGCCCCAGGGGGCGATACTCGGTCGACATTGTTTCGATATTTTTGTGGGTGCTCGAAACTATCTCTGGGATGTGGCTCGTAAGTGCGATATGAACGTGCAGCATCAAGCGTACCCGACTTTTGGGACCTTCCGGCGTCCACGACGGCCCAATCGCTCCCAAGATCGCCCCAGGCCGGGCGACGAGGCCTCCGAGGAGGATCCCCACGCGGCTCCAGAGGAGCCCCTCGACGGCACAAGACGCCCCCACGGCCCAGGAGGCGCCCAAGACAACCCACTGGCCCAGATCCCTGGCCTTCCAGGAGGGCTAAAAACTAGCACCAGGACGTCGACGTCCTAATTCCTGTCGAGGTTCGAGGCAGTCCAGCACCAAAAGGCCTCCCGGCACCAAAAGGCCTACCTGGTGCCATCTGGAGGCGGTTCCACGTCCTCCCGGGGCGGCCCGGGGCCTTCCCCAGCCCTGCGCGTGGAAGCCGGCGCACCATGTGAGGCAAGGCGGCCCTGTCTCCTCACGTGGTTCTGGGCGCCCTGCGGGGGCGTTCCGGGCGGGGCCCCGCTTGGCCGGATTTGGTGGCCAGCGCGCTGGACAGCGGGCCCAGCAGCCGCAGCCGCAGCCCGGCCCAGCCGACAGGCCCGGCAGCCCGGCACCAGGGCCCGAGGTGCACGCAGGTCAGCCACGTGGAACGGCCCCCAGATCCCCCTCCCTCACCTCTTCGGGGCTGCCGCCGCCGTTGCTGCCTCCTCGCCATCGCGATCGCTTGTCGTCGTCGTCGTCGCCGTCGTCGCCGTCGTCGCCGTCGTCACCGCCGTCGTCGTCGTCGTCGCCGTCGTCACCGCCGTCGTCGTCGTCGCCGTCGTCGTCGTCGTCGTCGCCGCCGTCGTCGTCGTCGCCGCCGTCGTCGCCGTCGTCGTCGTCGTCGTCGTCGTCGTCGTCGTCTTCGTCGTCGTCGTCGTCGTCGCCGCCGCCGCGGCCGCCGCCGCTGCCGCCGGTGTCGTTGCCGCCGCCATCGGCGCCGCCGCTGCCGTCGCTGTGCTGCTGCTGGCGTCGCCACCTGTAGCCGTCGTCGCCATAGTGGGGGGGGGGGAGGCCGTTCCCCAGGGCCGTTCCCAGAGCGGGTAGCGGGGAGCACGGGGCGGCCCGCCTAGCCATAGACAAGACAAGGCCGCAGGTGCCCTGGCAAGGGAACGCGGTCCGCCGCGCTCCCTTGCCAGGGCACCTGCGGATGTGCTCCACTGGTACACGTACCCGTGGAGAACCAGCTCGAGAGAGCTGCAAGGCAGCTCGTGGCAAGCCCCAAGACGGCTCAAGAGGCGCCGAGGGCGACGCAAGGCGGCCCAGAGATGGCCCCGCCGCGCCGCGTTCCCCTGCCAGGGCACCTGCGGATGTGATCCACGGGTGCACACTAGTCAGCTACAGCGCTGGGATCAGCGCGTGCGAGAAGGGCGATCAGTGGCAGCGGGCGCTGGCGCTGCTCAGCGAGATGTGGGATGCGAGGCTGGAGCCCGACATCATCTCTCCTACAATGCCCGGAGCAGCGCGTGGTGTTCGTCTATCGTGGCAAAGCCCGTGGGGGGCCCGCTGGGAGGGCCTGCGCCTCCCAGTTGCCGAAGATACATCCAATACGGCCGCAGACGGTTGGCTTCTTGTACGTTTGTAACTGCGTTCTTAACATCTAAGACTTTTGGGCCCTTGCAGCGGCCACGACGGCCCAACAGCCCCGAAGATCGCCCCAAGCCGGCCCACGAGGCCCCCCAAGAGAATCCCAAGGCGGCTCAAGAGAGCCCCTCGACGGCCCAACAGAGCCCCAAGGCGGCCCAAGAGACGCCAAGGACGACCCAAGATGGCCCAGAGATGGAGAGCTGCAAGACAGCTCCTGGAAAGCCCCAAGACGGCTCGAGAGGCGCCGAGGGCGACCCAAGACGGCCCAGAGATGGCCCCGCCGCGTTCCCCTGCCAGGGCACCTGCGGATGTGCTCTGCGGGCGCCCACTAGTCTACACTGCATGGCCGGAGGGAGCGCGTGCCGGAAGCAAAGCGGCTCCAAGCGGATCCCATGGCAGCAGAGAGCCTTCCGGCGGGGCCCGGCTCGGGCGGCGGAGGCTCTCGGGCGGTGGAGGCTCGAGGGCCCCGGACGGCCCCGAGACGGTCAAAGATCAGGAGGAAAAAAAACACACAGACACAAGTAATCCTCGATTCCCCAGAAAATATGGGAAAATATGGGAAGTGGGGGGGAAGACAGAAACCCAGAAAATATGGGAAAATATGGGGGATATTTTTATTTGTGTGTATTTATTTGTGTGTCCCAGTTCCCCTTCACAAAGAGGACCTCCGAGACAGTCCGCGAGCGCTCGAAGACGCTCAAGGTAGCCTCCAGACGGCCCGCGAGGCCCCCAAAATGCTTCAAGGGGGCTCCCAGGAGACGCCCGAGAGAGCTCGCACGAGGAAACATCGCCCCCTAAACCCAGGGCATGCGTGCATTTTCGCAACTCCCGTGCTTTTCGTTTTCAAAGCGTCCACGACGACAATGCGGGCCCCAAACATCGGCCCAAGACGTTTCAGGAGGCCCCCAGGAGTCTCCCGAGACGGCCCCCTGCGGCCCCAGGACGGCCCAAGATGGCCCCAGGACCGTTCCTGCGGCGCCCACGACGGCCCAAGAGTCACCCAAGGCAGCCCCAAGAGCGGCCAAAGACGGTCCAAGACGGCCCCACGACGGTCCCAAGCCGGCCCCAGAGGCGTCCAAGACGGCCGCAGACGGCCCCAAGACAGCCCAAGGGACACCCAAGACGGCCCAAGTGGGCCCCAAGAGGCACCCAGGAGGCTGCAAGACGGTCCAAGGGGGTCCCCAAAGGCCCCCAGGAGGCTGAAAAGAAACCCCGAGAGGCCCCCAAACGGTTCCCAAGGAGAAGGAAGCTCCCGCCATCAGTGGCCGCACAGGGACCGTTGCCCTACTCCGTGGGTGCAGGCGCGAGCGAAAGAGCGCCGGATAATGCACATCAGCATGGGCGCTATTTCTCTTTGCTATAGCCTCCCAGCTCCAGGGCGCCCTTCGCCGCTGCCGCCCAAGTGAGGCGAGATACGCCAGAGGCCTCCAGGGAACGCAGCCCCAAGCACAGTCTGACCCCAGAGGGACGCGGAGACGGCGCCCAAAAGGACGTGCCTCCCTGCGCGTCCACAGTGAGCCCCCATGCGCAGAGTCCACCGCGCGACATTTCGAGTGCCCCGGGGCGGCATCGATCTCTCCCGTGGGCACGAAGCAGACAGCAGCAGCGGCGGCACAGCAGCAGCAGCAAACAGCGGCAGGCAGCGGGTAGAAGCACGCACCAAGCGGAGCTGGCCATCAGCAGCAACCTGCGGCCACAAGCAGCAAGAGCATTCAGCAGCGGCCTCAAGCACTACCAAGAGTTCACAACAGCGGCAGCAAGCAGCAGCACGCAGTAACATGCGCGGAATGTGAGGTCGGGCCCCCGCAATCAGATGCCAGTTCGTGCATATTTTGTAGACGGAGTCCACGGGCCAGTCCTACCGACGTCGCCAGCCTCCTTCCGGTGCCCACAACCCACGACGACGACCACCACCATCACCACCACCACCACCACCACCACCACCACCACCACCACCACCACCACCACCACCACCACCACCACCACCACCACCACCACCACGACAACGACGTCGATTACGACGGGTACGACGGCGGCCCCGCGGCGGCGACGACAACGATGCCGACGATGACGGCGACGACGGCGGCCACGCGACGGCCAAATTGCTGGAGCGCTGCTGGAGCTCGGACACGAAGGCGCGGTCTCGCTGCCGCCGTCCCAGCCGCCGCCGTGCATCTAGGTTTTCAACACAGTCTCCGCCGTTCCTCCGAGAACCATTCCAGAAAGATGTCGTGGACGGAGTCCACGGGTCCGCCCTAGTCAGCTACAGCGCTGGGATCAGCGCCTGCGGGAAGGGCGAGCGGTGGCAGCGGGCCCTGGCGCTGCTCGGCGAGATGTGGAACGCGAAGCTGGAGCCCAACGTCAGCTACACCTTAGGCGATGCTTAAGAAAACTTAAATTTTCGGCCAGGGTCTCGATTATTCTTAATGTTTCAACGTGAACCCTAAGATTTTGATAGAAATTTTGGGTTTTTAGTCAAGTTCTGAGACTATGAATTTCTTAACCCATGATTTCTTAAGCATTTCGCAAGGTGTATGTCACAATCCCAGAACGCTGTTTCTGCGACCCCTCCTGCGCCGAGCGTGTCCCAAGAGGTGTTGGGCCTGGCTTGCTCCCATCATCTCGGCCGTCTCCTCATGCTCACCGCCGTCGCTCTCCTGCCCCACAGGCGCTCCTCGGCGCAGACGGAAGGGCACGATTTCCAGGAGGGAGAAGGAGGGGGGGGGAGGGGGAGGAGGAGGAGGAGGAGGAGGAGGAGGAGGAGGAGGAGGAGGAGGAGGAGGAGGAGGAGGAGGAGGAGGAGGAGGAGGAGGAGGATCAGGAGGAGGAGGAGGAGGAGGGGAGGAGGGGAGGAGGAGGAGGAGGAGGAGGAGGAGGAGGGAGGAGGAGGATGAGGAGGAGGAGGAGGAGGAGGAGGAGGAGGAGGAGGAGGAGGAGGAGGAGGAGAGGAGGAGGAGGAGGAGGAGGAGGAGGAGGAGGAGGAGGAGGAGGAGGAGGAGGAGGAGGAGGAGGAGGAGGAGGAGGAGGAGGAGGAGGAGGAGCAGGAGCAGGAGCAGGAGCAGGAGGAGAAGGAGAAGGAGGAGGAGGAGGAGGAGGAGGAGGAGGAGGAGGAGGAGGAGGAGGAGGAGAAGGAGGGGAGGTGGAGCTGCTGCTGTTGCTACTGCCCATGCCCCTGGATCAGCTGCCGCTGATACCGCTAGCGCTGCGCTGGACGCCGTCAGAGTCATTAAGCAATTGGCCCACCCTGAAGCAGTGAGCAGCAGAAAGCGCACTCTGACCACTGGCACTCGTGGACTGTAGTCCACAGGTCAACCCCGGTCTCTCCTACAAGTCAGGGGCACGTGCGCGCGAGAAGGGTCCCTGAACCCAGTGACTGCAATACCGCTCTGGTGCGCTCCCCCGGGCGCCCGGGGCCTCGGGCTCAGAGCGGTGCCAAGACTGCTCGGAGACGCTCACGATGGCGCTCCGAAGGCCGTGAGACTGCTCCGAGACGTTCGAGAGGGCGCCCTGACAGCCCAAGAGGACCCCCAGCGAGCCCCAGGGCGGCCCAAGAGCGCCAGAAGACAGGCCAGGAATCTTTCCAAGACGGCCTGGGAGGACCCCAGGACAGCCCGAGGCGGCCAAAATCATAGATCTCCCTTTTCTTCCGAAATGGCTTTCATGCTCCCGCCATCAGGCCCCCCAAATAGCCAGGACCCTGCCAGATCGCTCCAAGCCGACCCGAGAAGCTCTCCAGAGGGCCCCAAGACGGTCCTAGAGGCCAGAGGACACCCAGCGAGCCCCAGGGCGCCCCAAGAGCGCCAGAAGACAGGCCAGGAGCTTCCCAAGACGGCCTGGGATGACCCCCAGGACAGCCCGAGGCGGCCAAAATCATATATTCCATTTTGTTTCGAATAGGGCCTCAAGACGGCCGGCTAAAAAGACTTCCAAGTGGCCCCCAGGTCGGCCCCAAGATGGCCCAAAGAGTTCCCCGAGGGGGCCCAGAGCGGGCCCCAAGACGGCCCAACACCCCAAACATAGCCTCAAGACGGCCCAAGACGCCCCCAACACGGCTGACTGGGGTGCCAAAATCACCCAAGAGGGCCTCAAGAGGCCCTGGAGAGGCCCCCAGGAGTCCCGGAAGAGGGTCCCACGAGGGTCCAGATGACGTGCGAAACTCTGAACGCCAAGGCTTCCCAGAGCGACCGGTGACGCACCAAGAGCTCGGAACGCCAGGGCTCCCAAGAGGGCCCCAAGAGGGGGAACTCGAACTGGCATCTCGCGCCCTCCGCTTCAAGATGCACTCAGAAACCGCCAGCAGAACCCCACGAGGCCCCCCAGAGCCCCAGGAGGCCCCCAACGAGGCCCGAGCCTGGCCCCAGGAGGCCCCCGAGAGGCCCCAAGACTCGCCCAAAACCGCCTCAAGCTACCCAGGGAGGATACCTGTAACGAGCTCTGGAACCGTGCCGGCCACCCAGGTGCTGTTTTTCTTCATTCTTTTGCCGATCGGCGCGGGCCCTCGCACAACCCCCCCCTCCCCCTCCATGGAGTAGATCTTGGCTGTTTTTGGGCGCTTGTTGCAGGCAGGTGGAGTCTCCCCCACAGGACGCACGGTTGCAAACAGTCGCACTAAGCAGAGGTCTGGAGCCAGACCCCCCTCCTCCCTCCCCCCCTTGCCGCCCAATGTTGAAACGCCGAATGCAAAACGCTCACCAGGAACGTACGGCGCCCGTGCGCCTCAACTTTTCTCCTCTTCTTTGGGTAGGCTCCTGTCTGAACGGGCCACTCGTCGGGGAGTTCTCCCCGAGGGTGCTCCGGACAGGCCCGCCATTGGGGGTGTGCTCCGCAGTGCCTTCGAACTTCCTCCGAGCCTACTGCGCAGCCCGCGCGCATCTTCCGACCTTCTCGGGCGGCCACCGCCACCATGGGACATCGTTGGGAGAAAGGCCCGCGTGATAATGCTTCCTAGTTTCCAGCCTTGGCCCTGAGACGACCTTAAGGCACTCACGATCATCCGGGGGCGGCCCCAAACGCCCCTATCACCTGGAAGAAAGCCGAAAAGAAGCCCCAAGAGGTCCCCACACGGCCCCCAAGAGGCCCTCAGTGGCTACAGAACTCCCTCCAGCAGTGGGGGGCGGACGAGAGGGAGGTGAGAGGCAGAATGCAGGCCCCAAACAGCTGTGTTCCATGCTCCGAGGGTCTATGGTTGACGATCCAAGACCTGCAGCATCGAGGCGATGATGATGATGATGATGATGATGATGATGATGATGATGATGATGATGATGATGATGATGATGATGATGATGATGATGATGATGATGATGATGATGATGATGATGCTGATGATGATGATGATGATGATGATGATGATGATGATGATGATGATGATGATGATGATGATGATGATGATGATCCACGCATCCAAGAAGGTCTGGAGCTCCCCGCTCGATACAGCCTCCCGAAGCCATGGCCTTTCCCTCTGGCGCTGCGGACGCAAGGCCTGACCCGTGCCCAAGGCACACTCGCAGACTCGCCTGAAAGCCTTGAGGCCGCCGACCGCCCCAGCCAAAGGCAGGCGGTCAGCAAACATCCGAGCCCTCACGGCGACTCAGCACGCAGACAGCTCGGCGCGCCACACCAGAGCAAAGTCCCCTAGGCACCAGGCCACAGACGGGAACGACTTGCTCTGAGGTGACCTTCGGAGGCGATCCTGACGGTCGGCCACAGCCTACCACCACGGTTCGGCCTCCGCCTGGCGCGGCACAGAGCACAGAGCGGGCTGGAGCGCAGCAGGCTGCGCGGGCTGTCGCGCCCAAGGGGCGCCAGCTGCTACATTAAACGGAGGCGCCGAAGGCGCCGAGCGTCAGACGCTGCCCAAGAAGAGGGCGGGAGGGAGTGAACCCTGGCGTGTGCCGAGCCCCACGGGGTACAGCCTACGCCACGGGGTCCCTCCCCCCCAGAGGCAGCAGCTCGGCGCAGGCATTCGTGATCCTTGGACCCGCCTGCGACACGAGCAGATCTTGATGAAAAGCGGCAGCAACTGGCAAGCCAATTGCCTCATCGGGCATCTGAGCGTCTAAGGCCTGGGGCGCCTCGAGTGGGACCCCGAGGAAGAAGCTGGCCGCTGCGAGGGCCAGCCGCGAGGCGGCCGCCGCCTCCAGAAGCTCGCCTGCAGACAAGAAGCCTGTGTCGATGCCATCGCCGCTGTAGGGAACGCCGCCGTTCCCATCCTCCTCCATATCAGCCCGAGCAATACGTGTAAGGATGGGAAACGTTCCCAAACCCCCAGGGCTCCGAAAGCGCCCCCTGGGGTCGGCGCAGGCGGCCTCGGCCGCCGAGGCAGCCGCTGAGGCCTCGCCCATCACGTCCTCCTCGACGTCGCCGATGAAGAACTCCACGAGCGGCACCTCGCCGAGCGCCTCCGTGGGCCCGCCTGCAGTGGGGCCCCCCGTGGGTATGTCCTCTCCGACGTCTGCGAGCGCCTCCGCGACGATGTCATTGCCGCGCCCTGCGGCGCCCACCGTCACGTCCAGCACGTCGTCGGCTTGCCCTACCTGCACGACGCCGTGGGCGTCTGCAGCAGCGGCCGCCGCGTCCAGGAACTCCACGTGCGACACCTCGCCGAACTCCTCCTTGAGCCCGCCTGCGGTGGGGCCCACAGTGGGTCCGTCCTCGTCGACGTAATCGAGCGCCTCCGCGACGATGCCATTGCCGCCCTCTGCAGCGCCAACCGCCGCGTCCTGCGTGTCGTCGGCGTGTGCGAAGCCGACGGGGCCCGAGCAGGCGACCTCGCCGCCGACCGACTCGTCCGCCTTCGGCGCCACGACGTCGTCGTAGCCGAACTTCCACCACCTCGCTCCCGAGGCAAGCGGAGCCGCCACATGTGCACCTGCGCAGCGGACCCGCTCTCCGAGCGCGAAGCCTGCGCCTGCGGACAAGCTCCGCCCGCGCCTGCGAGCGATGGCCCACTCCTGCGGGGCCGCGTCACAAGCCGCCCGCGCAGCGGGCTGGCGGCGGTGAGGCGTCGCCGTAGGCCGCACGAGCCTCCGCGCCCGATCCCGCGCACCGCCGATCGCCGTAGAACCGCCCGACCGCTGCAGGCGGTTCAGCGACGGCAGCTGCATGCGGGCGATGCTGGCGCCGCGCCTGCTAGCGCAGTGGAGTCCAGCGTTACGCCTGGACCTCTCCACCCGCTGCGCAGGCCCACGCCCCCGCTGCCGGCCAGAGGTCGCGGCCGCACCGGCCGCAGTAGCCACAGCGCCGCCTCCGCCAGCTGCTCCGCGAGCAGCGTCTGCGAACACCTCCTCGACGATGGGCACGGCCAGCGCCACGCGCGTGACCAGCTCGTCGCGAAGGGCATCGGCAGCCGCACGCACGCCTGCCTGGTCGTCGGCAAGGAGAACAGCCTGAGCAGCTGCCGCCTTGTGCCGCTCGCTCACGGCCTCGAGCTGCACCTCCAGCAACTGCACCGTGCCCTCCAGCTCCGCGATGCGGCTGAGGGCGGCTGCGAGCTTGCCGAGCTCCACGGCCCTCGCCGCCGCCCGCCGCGCCCGCCGCGCTGGCCACAGGGACCCCCCTGCGGCAGCGGCTTCAGGCTGCTCTGCCGCCTTGAAGGCGGCCGTGCAGCCGACCGCAACCATCTGCGCCCAATGGCGCCGCCCCGAACGCGCCGAGCCCGCCCGCGCGCCCGAGGAGCAGCTCTTTAGCCAAAATGGCTACGGATGATGATGATGATGATGATGATGATGATGATGATGATGATGATGATGATGATGATGATGATGATGATGATGATGATGATGATGATGATGATGATGATGATGATGATGATGATGATGATGATGATGATGATGATGATGATGAGGAGGAGAGGAGGAGGAGGAGGGAGGAGGAGGAGGAGGAGGAGGAGGAGGAGGAGGAGGAGGAGGAGGAGGAGGAGGAGGAGGAGGAGGAGGAGGAGGAGGAGGAGGAGGAGGAGGAGGAGGAGGAGGGAGGAGGAGGTGGAGGAGGAGGCAGGAGGAGGAGGAGGAGGAGGAGGAAGGAGGAGGAGGCGAGGCGGGAGAGGCCGAGGCCGAGGGAGGCGGAGGCGGACGGCGGAGGAGGAGGGGGAGGAGGAGGAGGAGGAGGAGGAGGAGGAGGGAGGAGGAGGAGGAGGGAGGAGGAGGAGGAGGAGGAGGAGGAGGAAACCCGAGAAGGCCCAGAAGAGAGCCTCATGAGGGTCCAGGTGACGTACGGAGGTCTGAACGGGGCCCCACGACGGCCCAAGAGGAGCCCAGACGGTCCAAGAGGATCCCAAAAGGTCCCGAAGAGGCCCACAAGAGGCACTCGGGCTCGCACGGCGCGGCGCCACGAGATAGTTGGGTGGCCCTGGATTCCGTTGGCGTGGTGACCAGGCGGACACTCCACCGCCATGTTGATGGCTTTTCGGAAGCACGCCCCCGTTCCACCAAGAGCTGCTTCATACCGCTGCCGTGGACGGAGTCCGTGGGTCAGCCCTAGTCTCTCCTACAACGCTGGGATCAGCGCGTGCGAGAAGGGCGAGCAGTGGCAGGGGGCTCTGGCGCTGCTCAACGGGATGTGGGAGGCGACGCTGGAGCCCGATGTCATCGGTACGATGATTCCGGTGCGCCGCGCGTGCGAACGAGGCGAGCAGCGCCAGATCTTCGTGCGCCAGCGGGTCCCTGGACGGTCCCATCCAGGCGTCGGACGGCCCCCGGACGGCCCTGATGCCCTCAACAGGGCGGCAGGACGGCCCCAGAGATAAGCCCGCACCCCAGACCAGGCCCCAGAAAACTCCCTCGGTTTCCTTCCTTCTCTTCTCCCCCTCCCCCTCCTCCTCCTCCTCCTCCTGCTACTTCTCCTCCTCCTCCTTCTCCTCCTCCTCCTCTTCCCCCTCCCCTCCTCCTCCTCTGCCTCTGGGGGCCTCCACCCCCCTCTCTCTGGTGCCGCTCTCCACTCCCTCTTCTGCCCGCGTCGGCGACGTCTGCACGCTCAGGGTCGACGCCTCGACTTGCCCGCCGTGGATTTCCCACGGGTGCGCGCCAGTCAGCTACAGCGCTGGGATCAGCGCGTGCGAGAAGGCTGAGAAGTGGCAGCGGGCGCTGGTGCTGCTCAGCAAGATGTGGGAGGTGAGGCTGGAGCCCAACGTCATCTCGGAAACTGGAACATATACAGTACCAGTGGCGGGCTGTTCTTCAATCCCAGGACTTCTTGAGGGTCGAGGACGACGCTGGGGTGGTGTGGTGTATACTTTTTCCCCGATGTCCCGGGGAAACAACGAAACATGTATACACCAGGGTCCCGTGTACACCAGGGTCCGCTCTCCAGTGCAAATTCCAATGCAGGGCCGGAACAAGCGTCGGTGTATAGAGTTCGATCCCCTACCATCTGTTTATTCTGCGGCGGGGGGCACGGCGTGCAAGAAGGGAGGGCGCTCAAGGCGGCACGACTCTGTCTCGCTGACCCTGGCGCGCCACCGCGCGCATACTGGGCGCTCCAAGACGGCCCAAGGTGGCCCCAAGAGAGCTCCAAGACGTCTCAGAAGAGGCGCTGGACCGCCCAAGAGGGCTCCAAGGATGGTCCCAGAAAGGTCTCGCGAAGCCCAACAAGAGTGCCCCACGGACACTGGCATCCAAGGTGGCCCCCCAACGGCTCAGGAGGCCCCCCAACACGGCCCAGCCCTTTTCCAAGAGGCACCTGCGATGATTTCCAGGAGCGATTATCTAGATTTCCGTATTTTTTTCGGCACGTTTTCGGGTGTTCTCTCTCCGGGACTCAGGTCGTCTGTGCGAGGACTCCAGTGGCCACCTGAGATCGCCCCAGCAGGGCCCGCCCCAGAGGCCATCCCAGATCACCCCAGAGGCCACCCAAGAGGCGGCCACGAGAGCTCCCCGAGAGGGCTCCACGACGGGCCAACAGGGCTCCGAGACGGCCCATCCTGGCTCCAACCCGGCCTGGGTGGCCTCCAAGACGACCCCCAGACGGGCCCAAGGCGGCCCAGGAGCGCACCAAGGCGGCCCCGAGGCCCCCCTCCCCTCCCCCGAACGTCCCCAGGCCGCCCCCCAGAACAGCTCATCAGCAGAGGCTCCAAGAGCCGCAGGGGTGGCTCCAGGAGGCCTGGGAGGGCACCGTGGGAGCCCAAGGAGCCCCATGCAGAGCTGCAAGAAGGCTTCCCGAGGGACCCCAAGAGGCCCCCGGGAAGGTCCCCCTCCCCCTCCTCCTCCTCCTCCTCCTCCTCCTCCTCCTCCTCCTCCTCCTCCTCCTCCTCCCCCTCCTCCTCCTCCCCCTCTCCTCCCCCTCCTCCTCCCCGTCCTCCGCCCTCCTCCCTCCTCGCCCGTCTCCCCTCGGCCGTCGCTCCTCTCTCTCGCTCCTCTCGCTCTTCCCCGAGCGCTCCCCGCTGCTCCCGCCGCGCTTCTCTCGATCTCCTCGGTGCCCCACTGCTCGGCTCCTCCCTTTCGGCAGCAGCCCGCGCCAGCAAGCTGAAGCAGCGAGGCGCGGCACCCTGCGGCATCAAGCAGCAGCAGCAGCAGCAGCAGCAGCAGCAGCAGCAGCAGCAGCAGCAGCGGCAGCAGCGGCAGCAGCAGCAGCAGCGGCGGCGAGCGGGGCAGCAGCACGCAGCTCGAAGCAGACAACAGCAGCAGCGGCGGCACACGGCGACAGCAAGCAGCAGTGGGCAGCGGGCAGAGACGCGCACCGAGCAGAACTGGCCATCGGCAAAACCCTGCAGCCAGAAGCAGCAACAGAGCGCACCAGGGGCAAGCATCACCGACGCCACGCAACAGTGGCAGCACACAGCCAGCACGCAGAAGTATAACTACGCAGAGTGCGATATTCGAGCCCCACGTTATCAGTCCAGCTTTCGGCAGCATTTCACAAGACACAATCACATCATGCTCCTTCATATTTAGTGGGCGTAGTCCACGTGTCAGTCCTAGTCAGCTACGACGCCGGGATCAGCGCTTGCGGGAAGGGCAAGCAGTGGCAGCGGGCTCTGGCGCTGCTCATCGATGTGCGGGAGGCGAAGCTAGAGCCCAACGTCATCTATCCTACAAGGGGGGCAGCGCGTGGTGCGTTGCTCTGGTGGCAGCGCCCAGAGGGGGTCTGCCAGGAGGGCCCGCCGGGAGGGCCTGCGCCTCCCAGCCGGCCCAAGTTAGTCCAAGAGTCCTCCACGTTCACCGAAGATGCCTCCGACACGGCCGCGGATGGCCTCAAGATGGCCCAAGATGGCGTCCAGACGGCCTCAGAGGGCACAGCCCAGGACGGTCTCCAGACGGCCAGCATACCTTTCAAAAGGCTCCCAGAGCGCTCCAAGAGTACGCCCAGCAGGGCTCTCCGCTGCAACAATCTGGTGCTCCTCTGCAGGGATTTCTAACGTTTCGAGCATACTGGGCTCTTGGGCCCTTCCAGCGTGACGGCCCAGCAGCTCCCAAGATCGCCCCAGGCTGGGCCAAGAGGCCTATACAAACAGGATCCCAACGCGGCTCCAGAGAGCCGCTGGACGGCCCCAGATGGCCCCAGAGAGTCCCGAGACGGTCCCAGGCCAGGCCAGGAGGCCTCCCAGGTTCCGTCTGGAGGCGGCTCCACTTCCTCCCGGGGCGGCCCTGCGCCTGGAAGCTGGAACTGAGTGAGGAAAAGCGCCGCCGAGAACAAGAGAACCCCTACCCCTAATAATCACGCGATGAAGACGTCACTTGCGTCCGCTCTTCGCACTGCGGACCATACATCTGGGCCGTTCGGTATGATACATCTGCGGAGAAGACCCCCTAACTATCCCTGATGTTGATGGCTCTCCTAACTTTGGTCCCCTCCCAACGGGTTAGGGGATCTTTTCTTGCTTCTCAATGTGGCTTTGTTTCCTCACATGGTTCCGGCGCCCTGGGGCTGCCCCTGAAGGCCGCCCGGGCGCCATCTGGCGGGGGCGGTTCCGTGTCAGCATCCCGGGCGGGCCTCCCGCCCAGGAGGCGCGCCCAGGAGGCGCGCCCAAGGACGCCCCGGAGACGGTCCAATAGTCTGGGGACGATTTTTCTATTCTTATTGTACTTATTTTCTGACTTGTTGACCATTCTTGATGTACCTGTAGGAGGACATGCCCGACCTAGCACTAGTCTCTCCTATAACAATGCGGAGGCCTTCGCGTGCGAGAAGGTCCTCTGTCTTGAACGGCCGCCTGCGCTCCGAGACGGCTCCGGGGCGTCCCAAGACGGCCCCAAGACGGCTCAGAGACGCTCCAAGAGGGTGCCCGCACGCCCCAAGAGGACCCCGAGCGAGCCCCAGGATGGCCCCCAGAGGCCTCCAAGGCAGGCCAGGAGGCTCTGGAGACGGCCCAGGAGGACCCCCAGGAGAGCCCCAAGAGGCAAACATCTGCCCAGTCCGTGTATTTTCTTATATGTTCGTTCTATCCGTTTGCACAGTCTCTAGGACGGCTGTGCAGGCCCCCCAAGATCGCCCCAAGACGCCCCCAGGAGGGCCTCCAAACGGCCCGAGACGGCCCTGGGACGTCTCCAGAGGCGCCCGAGACGGCCCAAGAGGCACCCAAGACAGCCCCAAGAGCGGCCAACATCAGCCTAAGATGGCCCCAAGATGGCCCGAGACGCGCCCAAGACGGTCCCAGATCGCCCCAAGACGGCCCAAGAGGAACTCAACGCGGCCCAAGAGGGCCCCGAGAGACTCCCAGGAGGACGAAAAGAGGCTTCCAAACGGCCCCCAAGATACCTTGGATGTTTCTCTCTGGGGAGCGTCGAACTTCCAGCGTCGTCTTGGGGGCCTCTGGGCCCTCTGGGAGCCGTGTCTGGGCCTTTTTGGGGACGTCTTGGGCCGGTGAGCTCGAAAGGTCGATTCGTGTAATAGCACCGGGGCCCGTCTTAGGGAGTTCGTGGGGTCCCCTTGAGCCGTCTTGGAGGCCTCTTGCCCGTCCTGGAGACCTCTTGGGCCGTCTCGGCGCCCTCTTGCAGGTCTCTTAGGCCGTCTAAATTCCAGTCGAGCGAACAGGAACATGCCCGCGCCCACTGGCCCCATCCTCACCACACTACCAGATTCATGTTGCTCCCATCGTACTTAAGGACCACATCCCAGAGATAATTTCGAGCACCCAGAGAAGTGTTGAAAAAATGTCGAAACAGTATCGAAACAATGTCGAGCGAGTGTCTCCCAGGGTCCGACACGCGAAAGCCCTCGAGTTTCGGCACTTTCCTGGTGCTCGAAATTCTTTTTGGCGATGAACGCTAAAGTAGGTTGGAGCATAATGATACCAGATCAAATAGTCAGCCGCCTCCGGCGAGGAGCAGGTCAAATTATTGTTTTGCAATCCGCCCCGCAGAAGCTATGATGAACACGGAGTGTGGTATGAGAACCAGCTTCTGTCCACACCACGTCGTGCCTACATGGGTGTGCTTCCCTTGACACCGCCTCCACCTTCGCGTCCCTGCCTTCAGGCCTGCTTGCCTGCATCCCTCGCCCACCTCCCCCTCCAGCGGCCACCTCCTCTATCCACACCGTCCCCTCCAACCTCCCCCCCCATGCGAGGCCCTGGAGACGCTCCACTTCCACGTCCACACCGTGGCGGGCAGATTCCGCGGCCGGAACGGCGCGGGTCAGCCCTAGTTAGCTACAATGCTGGGATAAGCGCGTGCGAGAACGGCGAGCAGTGGCAGCGGGCTTTGGCGCTGGTCAGCGAGATGCAGGATGCGAAGCTGGAGCCCAACATTACCTCTCCTACAATGGCCGCACCAGCGCTCGCGGATGGGGAGAGCGATGGCAGCGGACCGGCCCCTTCCGGCGGCCCCTGCGAGCCCCAGCAGGCCCCGGCGCGCTTCCAAGATGGCCCAAGAGCGGCCCGAGACGCTCCAGGTGCCCCCAAGGAGTGCCCCAAGACGGCCGAAGACGGTCCAAGAGGGTCTCCGAAACGCGTCCAGAGCGCCCGATAACGTCGCAGACAGCCTCCAGACGGCCTCAGAGGCCTCCGAAACGTTCCAAGTGGGCTCCACGAAGAGCCTCAAGAGAGCCCGAACACTGAAAAATCGTCCCATTCCTTAGGAGAAACGTCCATTTGGGCAGTTCCTGGGCTTGCCCTTATAGCGTCCAAGACGGCCACACAGGGTCCCAAGATGGCCCCAGGACGGCTTCTGAGGCGCCCCTGGCAGCTCACGAGGTACCCAAGACGGTCTCAAGAGCGGCCCAGGACGGCCCAGGACGGCCCCCAGGCAGTCCCCAGACTGCCCCAGAGTCGCCCAAGACGGCCCCAGAACCCCCAGAC